GGCCAGGCTGGTCTCGAGCTCCTGACCTCAAGTATTCCACCTGCCTCGGCCTCCCAAAGTGCTGGGATTACAGACATGAGCCACTGCACCCGGCTTATTTATTTATTTTTTTTTAATTTTTGTTTTTTGAGACAGAGTCTTGCTCTGTTGCCCAGGCTGGAGTGCAATGGCACGATCTTGGCTCACTGTAACCTCCGCCTCCCCGGCTCAATCTGTTCTCCTGCCTCAGCCTCCCGAGTTGCTGGGATTACAGGTGTGCCCCACCATGCTCGACTTATTTTTTGTATTTTTATAGAAATGAGGTTTCACCATGTTAGCCAGGCTGATCTGGAACTCCTGACCCCAGGTGATCCACCCGTTTGAGCCTCCCAAAGTGCTGGGATTACAGGCGTGAGCCACCACGCCCGGCCAAGAGACATGGAGTTTTTAAGCAAGGAAAAAAAATTAGAGAAATATTTTAAGAAAGGTTAATCTGGCCATGATGTGAATTGGAATTGATAAGTGAAACAGAATATAAAGAGACCACTTAGAAAGCTATTACCTAGCTATTACCTATAGCTTAGAAAGCTATTACCTAGTGCAAGCTGGGCACGGTTGCTCGTACCTGTAATCCCATCTGTTTGGGAGGCCGAGGCAGGCGGATCACAAGGTCAGGAGATCGAGACCATCCTGGCTAACACGGTGAAACCCTGTCTCTACTAAAAATACAGAAAATTAGCTGGGCATGTTGGTGGGCGCCTGAGGCTGAGGCAGGAGAATGGCGTGAACCTGGGAGGCGAAGCTTGCAGTGAGCCAAGATAGCGTCACTGCACTCCAGCCTGGGTGACAGAGCGAGACTTCATCTCAGGAAAAAAAAAAAAAAAGAAAGCTATTACCTAGTGGAAAAGTGAAATAGAGTCCAACATTAAGTATTTTTTGAAAGGCAAAAATCATGTAAGGGGGTCTGGGCATGGTGGCTCCCACCTGTAACTGAGGTGGGAGGATCACTTGAGCCCAGGAGTTTGAGACCTGGGCAACATGAAGAGACTGCATCTCTACTAAAAATAAATAAAAGACTGGGTGCGGTGGCTCACACCTGTAATCCCAGCACTTTGGGAGGCTGAGGTGGGTGGATCATGAGGTCAGGAGTTCGAGACCAGCCTGGCCAACATAGTGAAACCCCATCTCTACCAAAAATACAAAAATTAGCTGGGTGTGGTGGTGGGCGCCTGTCATCCCAGCTACTCTGGAGGCTGAGGCAGGAAAATCACTTGAACCCGGGAGGCGGAGGTTGCAGCAAGCTGAGATTGAGCCACTGTACTCCCGCCTGGGTGACAGAGCCAGACTCCGTCTCAAAAATAAATAAATAGCCGGGCGCTGTTTCTCACGCCTATAATCCCAGCACTTTGGGAGGCTGAGGCAGGCAGATCACCTGAGGTCGGGAGTTTGAGACCAACCTTACCAACATGGAGAAACCCCATCTCTACTAAAAATACAAAAGTAGCCGGGTGTGGTGGTGCATGCCTGTGATCCCAGCTACTCTGGAGGCTGAGGTAGGAGAATCTGTTGAACCAGGGAGGCAGAAGTTTCAGTGAGCCGAGATTGTGCCATTGCACTCCAGCCTGGGCAACAAGAGCGAAACTCTGTATCAAATAAATAATTTATAAGCAATTATATTAAAGCAAATATTTCTTGAAAGATTTATGTCGTAATCCTATCTGTTTTCCAGAAAAGCATCAGATTTTTCTCTGGAAGCATCTGTGGCTGAGATGAAGGAATACATAACAAAGTAAGTTAACCTTTGTTAGAAAATCTAAATTCATTCTCCTATCTGGGGAAATTAACTAACTTGGAAAAAATGAATAGTAAGCATTGTATTTGGAGAGTCAGCATTAGTGCACCAATACTAGAAGTTAGAAGGCTCGTATTGAGATTTTTATGGACTCTACTAATGATCAGTTTCACAGAATGGAATCTAGAGAACACAAATATTAATTTGACTTGAAGAACTGAGGTTTGGTATGATTAAATATCCTCTGAATTGGTCAGGCTTTCTAATCCTGTAATGACCTTCAACTCACATTTTATATCTAGATTGTACACCTAACATACTTATTGTTACTGTGAGTGATTCAGAATAAGATTATAAAAATTAACTGAATTTTTTTTCCTCATTCTTATAGGTTTTCTTTAGAACGTCAGATTTGGGATCAGCTCTTGGTGCACTACCAGCAGGAGGCTGAAGAGATATTGTCCAGGTTAGCTCTATGAACTGTAAAAACTGTCTTTAAAAACCTTATGGAGTTTGATTGGGGTTTATTTCAGTTCTGTTAGTACAAATCGAAAGATGAATCCTTTCTCACAGGCCAGTAAGCTAATCAAATTCTGTAGTGTGTATTAGCACTCTCTGACCATAAACGGGAGGTGAGTGAGAGGAAGGAAGAATTGGTGTCACTATTTTCGGTCCAAAACACAATTGCTTCTGTTCTGTGTCCTTGGCTACCATTTCATATCCTGGGGGAGACAGGCACATCTCTACCTTGTACCTGGCAGCCTGGGGCTGGGCCAAGAACAGTAATCAAGGGGCTTCAGTGAGCACATGGCCTATGAGCTGCATGTTTGGGGGATGCCCTTGGCCAGGGCCTTCTTGGAAACAGAAAGACATGAAAGTGGGTGATGAGGAGGATGTGAGGAAAGAGAGGATCTTTGGGTCTTGAAGGTAGAGGAAAAGTAGGAAAGTGCTAGGTGTTTTGTTTGTTTGTTTGTTTGTTTTGTTTTGTTTTGGAGATAGACTCTCACTCTGTTGCCCAGGCTGGAGTGCATGGTGCTATCTCAATTCACTCCACCTCCCGTGTTCAAGCAATTCTCCTGCCTCAGCCTCCTGAGTAGCTGGGACTACAGGTGTGTGCCATGATGCCTGGCTAATTTTTGTATTTTTAGTAGAGACAGGATTTCACCATGTTGGCCAGGCTGGGCTGGGTGTTTTTTGTTGTTTTTTTGTTTGTTTTTTTGCTCTGTTGCCCAGGCTGGAGTGCAGTGGCACGATCTCAGCTCACTGCAGCCTCCACCTCCCAGGTTCAAGCAATTCTCCTGCCTCAGCCTCCTGAGTAGCTGGGATTGCAGGCATGTTCCACCACACCATGGTTTTGCCATGTTGGCCAGGCTGGTCATGAACTCCTGGCCTCAAGTGATCTGCCTATCTTGGCCTCCCAAAGTGTTGAGATTACAGGTGTAAGCCACGGCACCTGGCCAGAAAATGCTAGATTTTTACTTAGATGAACATTTAAGCCATGGTTTTAAGCTTTTTTTTTTTTTTTTTTTTTTCAAAATAAAATCTCAGCTAGAATCCCAACGACAAAATGTTAGTCAAAACCCTAATTGCAGAAGTGGCCTCTCAGTAGAGAGGGTCTCTGAGGACCATGGTTTGAAAAACTTTCCCAGTCCAGGTAATGATGGTTATCAGTTACTTTTCACCCCTTACATACTCTGTTTATGAAGAAAGATAATGTGTAAGATGCCAGTTTCATATAAAAACTTTTGTGGCAAAGCTTATAGGTTAAAAGGAATGGTTCTAGAAGCAGACTGTCTGTTCAGACTCTAACTGTTCCTTAGTTTTGTGACCTTGGGCAAATCACTTAGTCTTGAATGAGCCTGAGGTTCCTCATTTGAAAATGGGGATGATATTAGTACCTTCCTCATTGGGTTATTGTAAGTGTCAAATTAGGTTAAATGTAAAGTACCCAGTAGTGTCTGGCACCTACTTAGCCCTCAGTAAATTGTAGTAGTTGTTGTTATTAAAGTTGTTGTTCATCAGTTTTCATGAACTCTCAGTCCTGTTCAGTTATTTTAGATAATTGAGGTAGGCCAGCGTGTTTTGGTAAACAATCATAGGCCCTGACTTTAGGATAGCAAGCTTTGGCTTCACTCTCTCCCAAGTATAGTCTTTCTGGTATATGGACCTTACTATTAAGTGGATTCAACTGACTGGAAGCTTCTGGCATTTCCTGGAGTCCAGAGGTATAAAGACATGAATACTAGACAGTTGTTTCAGAACTTCTTGTTAAGGCCAGGCGCGGTGGCTCATGCCTGTAATTCTAGCACTTTGGGAGGCCGAGGCAGGTGGATCACAAGTTCAGGAGTTCGAGACCAGCCTGGCCAACATGGTGAAACCCCATCTCTACTAAAAATACAAAAAATTAGCTGGGCATGGTGGCAGGCGCCTGAAATCCCAGCTACTCGGGAGGCTGAGAAAGGAAAATCGCTTGAACCCGGGAGGCAGAGGTTTCAGTGAGCCGAGACCACGCCACTTCATTCCAGCCTAGGCAACAGAGTGAGACTCAGTCTCAAAAAAAAAACTTCCTGTTAAGAGAGCCTATACCTAGTGTAGAGTTGAGGAATACTGATTCAGCTTTGTAGGATAATCTTTGGTAGCTCTTCCAGAAAATAATTACAAAATCCCTCGAAAGCACTTTTGTTTTGTTTTTAGAGGATCAGCTGAGGCCAAAATTACTGAGGTCAAAGTGGAACCTATGACATATCGTGGGTCTTCTCAGAATGAAGTTCTTAATACAAAGCCTGACTACCAGAAAATATTACAGAACCAGAGCAAAGTCTTTGATTGTATGGAGTTGGTGGTAAGTGGGCTCATGTTTATTTGGTTGAGTTATCCAGCTTGCCACCTTGTAATCCTTGGAAATTAAAAGACCTGGAGAATATGTATAAGTGTAAGTTGAATAAGTATATTCAGCTCTACCTTGGGAAAACATGGAGAGACAATTAAAAAATAATAAACAGGCCGGGTGCGGTGACTCACACCTGTAATCCCAGCACTCTGGGAGGCCGAGGTGGGCGGATCACGAGGTCAGGAGTTCGAGACCAGCCTGGCCAACATGGTGAAACCCCATCTCTACTAAAAATACAAAAAATTAGCCGGGCGCCTGTGGTCCCAGCTACTCAGGAGGCTGAGGCAGGAGAATGGCGTGAACCCAGGAGGCAGAGGTTGCAGTGAGCCGAGATCGCGCCACTACACTCCAGCCTGGGTGAGAGCGAGACTCCGTCTCAAAAAAAATAAAAAATAAAAAAATAAAAAAAATGAATATATAGTGGTAAATGCTGATGAAGCAGGTAAGAGGGAAGGACAGTATAGGGAGGTTGATGGGTTGCTATTTTATATAGCAAGGTTATTGAAGGCCCCTTTGAGGTGCCATTTTAACAGACTTGAAGGAAATGAACCATGAGGACATTTGAGGGAATAGTATTGTGTCAATCCAGGTATTAACAGCAAGCAGATGGTATTTGAAAGGACAATTCAATGAGAGTTTATTTTCAAAAAAGCTAAATAGATATGGGTATTGGAGAACCACAAGGGTTAGTAGAGTAACCTGGGGCTTATAGGCAGCAGAGCTCTTACTCCCCCTAGGCCTGAAAGGGAGGAGGGAGTAGCAGTTACTGTGGCACCTAATGGGAGAAAGTCACATAGTTAGCTGATTTGAGAGAGCCAACTCAAGATGACTCGTTCAGCTCCTTCCCACTTAGGCGTCCTGTTGGTAGAGATTACACGGGTCAGCCTCCTGGAGCATAGAGCAACCTGGAGAAGAATGTGGTGTGACTTTGGAGGAACAAACAGAGTATGTGGCATAAGCATTCCAGGCTGAAAGAACAGCAAGCCCAAAGCTCCTGAACAAGAGCTTGCTTGTCGGGTTTGAGGAACATCCAAGAAGCCATGGACCTTTACAGCTCACGGCTGTCTTTTTTCTGCAGATGGATGAGCTGCAAGGGTCAGTGAAACAGCTGCAGGCCTTTATGGAGGAAAGTACCCAGTGCTTCCAGAAGGTGTCAGTACAGCTTGGTAAGCTTGTCTCTTGAGGGGACCAGAGTTTGGGCTGTTTTCCATCTGATAGCTTTTGGGATACAAACTGCCCTTCAAAGCCTATGGTCCAAGAGGGTAAGACCTATATGAGGTGATTTGTTTTTCTCCCCACAATAAATAGTATGTTATTGATACATACTATTTGATAGGAAATTTCTAGATGTAAATTCTACAGAAGCACAGTAGACTGAAAATTAAATCCCCATGAAATATGTTGTTGTTCTGGTAAATCCAAGACTTAAGAAATACCCACCCATTGCTTTTTCCCTCCTCATTTCTCAAGAATTCACTAAGTGACACTGACATCACTCCTCCCTAGCTTTTCCTGACCTCCTCTCAGCCCTTAATTATTTGCTATATGTACCTTCATTTTCTTTCTTTTTTTTTTTTTTTTTTCTTTTTTTTGAGGCAAAATCTCACTCTTGCTCTCATCCAGGTTGGAGTGCAGTGGTGCAATGACTGCACAGCTCACTGCAGCCTAAACCTGATAGGCTCAAGCGGTCCTTTCACCTCAGGCTCCCAGAGTAGCTGGGACTAAAAGCGTGCACCACCACACCCAGCTAAATTTTTAATTTTTTTGTAGAGATGGTCCAGGCTGTGTTGTCCAGGATGGTCTTCAACTCCTGGGCTCAAGTGATCCTCCTGCCTTGGCCCCCCAGAGTGCTGGGATTACAAGTGTGAGCCACTGCGCCTGACCATCATTTTGTTTGTTTGTTTGTTTATTTGTTTTGAGAAGGAGTTTCGCTCTTGTTGCCCAGGGTAGAGTGCAATGGCGAGATCTCGGCTCACTGCAACCTCTGCTTCCTGAGTTCAAGTGATTCTCCTACCTCAGCCTCCCGAGTAGCTGGGATTATAGGCATGCTCCACCACGCCCGGCTAATTTTGTATTTTTAGTAGAGACGGGGTTTCTCCATGTTGGTCAGGCTGGTCTCGAACTCCTGACTTCAGGTGATCCACCTGCCTCGGCCTCCCAAAGTGCTGGGATTACAGGCTTGAGCCACTGCGCCCGGCCTCCATCTTCTTACTGATCATGTTGTATTGTGATTGTAGTGGTAGCTGGCTTTTATTTTTCAGACAGTCTCGCTCTGTTGCCCAGGCTAGAGTGCAGTGCCATGATCTTGGCTCCCTGCAACCTCCGCCTCCTGAGTTCAAGATACTCTCCCACCTCATTCTCCTGAGTAGCTGGGATTACAGGCATGTGCCACCATACCTGGCTAATTTTTGTATTTTTAGTAGAGATAGGTTTTCACCACGTTGGTCAGGGTGATCTTGAACTTCTGACCGCAAGTGATCCACCCACTTTGGCTTTCCAAAGTGTTGGGATTACAGACATGAACCACCCTTTTTTTTTTTTTTTTTTTTTAAGATAGGGTCTTGCTCTGTCGCCCAGGCTGGAATACAGGGGTGCAGTCATGACTCATTGCAGCCTCAACTTTCTGGGCTCCCAGCTGATCCTCTTGCCTCCCATGTAGCTGGAGGATCATGCTAGGACCATGCTAGGCTAATTTTTTTTTTTTTTTTTTTTTTTTTTTGTAGAGACAAGGTCTTACTGTGTTGCCCAGGCTAGTCTCAAACTTCAAACAGTCCTCCTGCCTTGGTTTCCCAAAGTGCTGGGATTACAGGCGTGAGCCACCTTGCCCAGCTGTGGTAAGATGACAGTTCTTACCAAATTGTCATCTCCTTGAGGCCAGAGACTCTCTTATTTGTCTTTGTAATGCCCTTCCATGTCTGGCACAATGTCCATACATTAAGTTTTCAATAAATGTTATGTTATTTCAATTGAAATTTATTTTTTTGGCCTCTTTTCTCTGCAGGGAAGAGAAGCTTGCAACAATTAGATCCCTCACCAGCTCGAAAACTGTTGAAGCTTCAGCTGCAGAACCCACCTGCCACACGTGGATCTGGATCTTGTCAGTGACCTTATGAGCTTTCCTGCCACAAGTTGCCCAAGAGGAGGAAGAATGGGAAGAGTGCCCCAGCACTTGGAGACTGCGTGATTTCTGCTCTGTTGCCTTTGAAGATAACTGGCTGGACTGACTATAGAGTACTTTGACTTTTTTCAAAAAGTGATGGAATTTGTACGTCAAATGAATATTGTATAGACGTTTTTCCCAGGAATGTACAAAATTCTTGAAAGTTCAAACTTCTTTTTTGAAATGCTCTTCAGATCCAGTGGCCCATTCTTTTATCTTTATCCTATGAAGATGTTTTTCAGGTTTTGAAACAATCCAAAAATCATTTAGGACCAAGTCTAAGGAAACATTTTAGTGGCCATCTTGGATTCTGGTTGTAAAGGAATGATACTAATTTTCTAGCATGGCTCTGAAGGTGATTTTAGGTAGAAGAGTTTTGAGGCTGGGCATAGTGGCTCACGCCTGTAATCCTAGCACTTTGGGAGACTGAGGCGGGTGGATTGCTAGAGCCCAGAGGTTCAAGACCAGCCTGAGAAATAAGCTGAAACCCTGTCTACAAAAAATACAAGAAGTTAGCTGGGTGTGGTGGCATGCGCCTGTAGTGCCAGCTACTCAGAAAGCTGAGGTGGGAGGATTGCTTGAGCCCAGGAGGTTGAGGCTGCAGTGAGCTCTAATTGCGCCAGTGCACTCCAGCCTGAGCAACAGAGTGAGACAGTGTCTTAAAAAAAAATTAAAAATTGTTAAAAAAAAATGGAAAAGTTTTGAGCATTGTTTGCATCATTGGGATACATATGTCACTTCACAAGATGTTCAATTTGAAGGAAATACCACTCATTCTCTATATCCTGTTGTCTGTAGTGTGCTTCCGTTTTTAATATTGAGTTGACCTCCTAAATCCTAGATTCATGACAAGAAAGACTAAGTACTACTATTCATTGTTCTATTTGTTTATAATCTGTATTGTAAACTTGCACATAATTAAAAGCTTTCCCTTGTCTTTATCTGTGTTTTGAGTGTATAAACAAAAAGGGAGTACTGGGCACGGTGGCTTATGCCAATAATCCCAGCACTTTGGGAGGCCTAGGCGGGCAGATTGCCTGAGCTCAGGAGTTCACGACCAGCCTGGGCAACATAGTGAAACCCTGTCTCTACTAAAAAAAAAAAAAAAAAAAATTAGCTGGGCATGGTGGCATGCACCAGTAAGTAGTTCCAGCTACTCAGAGGGCTGAGGCAGGAGAATTGATTGAACCCGGGAGGCGGAGGTTGCAGTGAGCCAAGATCACACCACTGCACTCCAGCCGGGGCAAAAGAGCGAGACTCCATCTCAAAAAAAAGGGAGGGCAGGGCCCAGTGGCTCACACCTGTAACCCCAGCACTTTGGGAGGCCAAGGTGGGCAGATCAGGAGGTCAGGAGTTCAAGACCAGACTGCCCAACATAGTGAAACACCGTCTCTATTAAAAATACAAGAATTACTTTGGGAGGCCGAGATGGGCAGATCATGAGGTCAGGAGATCGAGACCATGCTGGCTAACATGGTGAAACCCCGTCTCTACTAAAAATACAAAAAAAAATTAGCCGGGCATGGTGGCAGGCGCCTGTAGTCTCAGCTACTCGGGAGGCTGATGCAGGAGAATGGCATGAACCTGGGGGGCGGAGCTTGCAGTGAGCCGAGATTGTGCCACTGCACTCCAGCCTGGGCGACAGAGCGAGACTCCGTCTCAAAAAAAAAAATTAGCCGGCTGTGTTGGTGCACATCTGTAATCCCAGCTACTTGGGAGGCTGAGGCAGAAGAATTGCTTGAACTTGGGAGGTGGAGGTTGCAGTGAGCTGAGATCATGCCATTGCACTCCAGCCTGGGCGACAGAGTGAGACTCGATCTCAAAAAAAAAGGGAGGGCTGGGCATGGTGGCTCACACCTGTAATCCCAGCACTTTGGGAGGCCGAGGCAGGTGGATCACTTGAGATCAGGAGTCCGAGACCACCCTGGCCAACATGGTGAATTCCCATATCTACAAAAAATACAAAAAAAATAGCCAGATATGGTGGCACATACCTGTAATCCCAGCTACTTGGGAGGCTGAGGCAGAAGAATCACTTGAACCCAGGAGGCAGAGCTTGTGCCACTGCACTCATGGGCAGTGCTTTATCCTGGGCGAAAAGGCAAGACTCTGTCTCAAAAAACAAAACAAACAAACAAAAAAAAGAGTAGGAGGGTTTAACAGAAAATAGGATTCTTTGCCAAGATGCTGAAGTGAACAGTAGTGTTGAGCTATACCTCTGCATTAATTACCAGTAGAACACCAACTAGGCCAGGCACTTTGGGAGGCTGAGGTGAGTGGTCGCTTGAGCCCAGGAGTTTGAGGCCAGCCATGAGCAGCATGCCGAAACCCAGTCTACAAAAAATACAAAAATTGGCTGAGAGTGGTGGTGCATACCTGTATTTCCAGCTACTTGGGAGGCTGAAGTGAGAGGATCAATTGAGCCTGGAAGGCCAAGGCTGCAGCAAGACATGATCGTAGTACTGCATTCCAGCCTGGGCAACAAAGTGAGACCCTATCTCAAAATTAAAAAAATTAAAAATAAATAAAAATAAAAATAAAAAAGGGCCGGGCGCGGTGGCCCACACCTGTAATCCCAGCACTTTGGGAGGCCGAGGCGGGTGGATCATGAAGTCAGGAGATCAAGACCATCCTGGCTAACATGGTGAAACCCCATCTCTACTAAAAACACAAAAAATTATCCAGGCATGGTGGCAGGTGCCTGTAGTCCCAGCTACGTGGGAGGCTAAGGCAGGAGAACGGTGTCAACTCAGGAGGCGGAGCTTGCAGTGAGCCAAGATCACGCCACGGCACTCCAGCCTCGGCAACAGAGTGAGACTCCATCTCAAAACAATAAATTAATTAAATTAATTAAATTAAAAAGCCACACACACACACAAAAACCCACCATCTAATTTATTACTTATGTTTCTTATTCTGGCCAGGCATGGTGACTCATACCTGTAATCCAGCATTTTGAGAAGCTGAAGTAGAGATCACTTGAAACTAGGAGTTCGAGATCAGCCTAGGCAAGACGGTGAGACCCCCATCCCTTCAAAAATTTTAAAAATTAGCCAGGCTTGATGGTGTGTGCCTATAGTGCTCATGCCTGTAGTCCCAGCTACTCAGGAGGCTGGGGCAGGAAGATCCCTTGAGCTCAGGAGTTCAAGGCTGCAGCGAGCTATGATTGTGCCACTGCACTCCAGCCTGGACAACAGCAAGACCCTGGCTCAAAAGCTAACTAACTAACTAACTAACTAAATAAATAAATAAATAAATAAATCCAGGCAGTAGGTGCCATGGCACGCTTATGGCTCACTGGACCCTCAACCTCCTGAGCTCAATCAATTCTTCCACCTCAGCCTTCCAAACAGCTGGGACTACAGGTGTGCACCACCACATCTGACTAATTTTTGTTTTGTTTGAGAGGAGTCTCCCTCTGTTGCCCAGGCTGGAGTGCAGCAGTGCCATCTCGGCTCACTCCAACATCTGCCTCCTGGCTTTAAGTGATTCTCCTGCCTCAGCCTCCTGAGTGCATGGGATTACACACACGCACCACCACACCCAGCTAATTTTTGTATATTTAGTAGAGATGGGGTTTCACCATGTTGTCCAGGCTGGTCTTGAACTTCTGACTTTAGGTGAGCCACCCGTCTTAGCCTCCCAAAGTGCTGGGATTACAGGCATGAGCCACTGCACCTGACCTAACCTTTTTTTAGATGGAGTCTTGCTCTGTCACCCAGGCTGGAGTGCAGTGGTGCGATCTCAGCTCACTGCAAGCTCCGCCTCCCGGGTTCACACCATTCTCCTGCCT